TTCCTGCTTGTCTGGAATGCAAGTCTTTTTGCCTCATTTTATGGTCCATTAGCTGGATGGTGGAGAATATTTCTACTAGATCGCTAGTAGATTTTTTTCCCAGTGTGCTTTCTGAGGTGTAATCAAAGTCATCTTATAGATTTAATTCTTCTGTGCTTCAGCTGCATGAACTACACCAGGGAGCTCAGCAGATGCGTACTCTCGAAGCTGTTTGAGGGGTAGTTGTTGCAATGGTATGGTCCAAAGCGTGATGCTGACTTCAGTATCAAAAGATGGGCAAACAGAAGATCCAGCATTCATTCTTGTAGCACATAACTTGAAAAAAATCTTTACGTTAAAAAGGAACAATCAAGGATTTTTTTTTTTTTTTAAGTGGGAAAAGGAGATGAATCCATTGAAGTCAGCTCTTACCGCATTTGCAGAATAAGGTGTCTGAAAGCAATGGTAGTGGAGTAGAAGTAATTTTAAATGGTATGCTGATTTAGGCCTGTTTCTTCAAAAGTATTTAAACGGTGCAGGTGAGATGAACCTCTCAGAATTGCTTTAGCCCTCGGGGAGGCGCCCAAAGGGAAACGGTCCGTCTTCCCACAGCTCCCGGCGCTGGCAGGCCCAGTGAGCTCTTGTCCCGAGAAAAAAGAGTCAGAGCAGTGTGTCAAGACATGCATTAAACCCCGTGCTTTAGAACAAGTAACAACAAGGAGGCCGTGTCAGAGAGTGAAGTCTGCTGCAGTGACAGAGCCGTCTTGGGGGGGCCTGCTGGTACGGGGTACCCCGAACAACTAGCTGAGGAGCCCCGCAAACGGCGCCCGCGTATTTCCGCGCGTCTGCTCCTCCCCGCGTGATGCAGCTGCGCCATCACAACACTGCTTACCCATGCGGGAGTCGTAAATCAGAAAACACAAATAGTTGTTTAAAATAGCACGGAAATAACTGAAGGAAATAATTTTAAAACAAAAAGTACTGTAGTTTCGAAAGGAGAATGCAACAGAATGCATTTCATCCCGACGCTGGCAGCAGGTATGGTTGCTGTTGCTAGCTGGATGGTTCGTGGTCGAGCAGGGTCATGGCTGCTCGGGGGGGAGCAGAGGGAAGAGGGGTGGTTGCTGCGCAGCGCAAAGAAACCATCTCGATACCCACGTGTGTGATGTTTGCAGCAGCCTTGATGCATTAAGACTCATTAATGAAAACTTGATCAGTTGCCGTACCAAGTGCAAGGTGACCAAGGGACACCATTAGCTTCTCTTAGACCACTTTTAAAACATGTCAACTTTTTTGCCTAAAATGGAGGCATTCTTTGAACTTCACAGGGAGAGTGATCAGGATGGTCTCTAGGGATTTTTCTTCCATTTTAAATTCACTCCTATGCACTTTTAATCAATATTATCCTTCAAAAGTATCTGTGCTCTTGAAGTCTATCTGCTAACTGTTCCTGGGGATTCTTTCCCTGGGACTGGATTGCACGGTGGAGGAATTTGGTGTCTGTGCAGAAGCTCCCCTGGGTCAGGAGACGGGCCAGACTGAAGTCGCGCTGTGAAATTAAGAAAACGTGCTTTTTGGTGTAAGGCGCTTTGGTGACTCCCTCTCGGGGCAGAGCTGGGAGACGTTCAGAGGAGGGTTTACATGGCAGTGAACGGGCGATGGAGGACGGCGCTGCCGGCTCCTGGGGGGAGCGGGCGCTGCTGCCGCTGTGCTGCCGGCAGCTGCTCGGGTGGTTCCTGAAGCCCTCCCCTGCTCCGGGACCGAGGTGCCATCTGTGCGTGTTGCGTCTACTGAAGTAAATGTGGTCCTCGCCTCCGCGAGGCTCGTGCGGCTGTTACAGCGGCCTCACGCCACAGCACGCCCGGTTTTTATTTGCAGCGTGGTGGTGTGCAATGGGGCAGGACGTGCAGGGAGCTCCGCAGCACGAGCCCGTGTTCCTCTGCGGCTCCTCCGCGGGCTGCCCTGGGGTACAGCCCACTCCCCTTGCTTTTTTTGGTTTAGTCTTGCTTCGGACACCAGTGTAACCACCATCAGTAACTTCTTTTTAGTTGTAAATGCCACTTGCTTTTTCCTGTCGGTTTGGTCAGTCTTATGTGGTGGTGGATTTTTAGGCTATGTTTTTTCAGTTTCCCTCCTGGAGTCTCTGAAAATTGTTGAACAGCCCTGGAATTTGGAAAAGAGCCTCCCGGGGCCAGGCTGGGGAGGCGCGCGAGGGGCAGGCTGCTCTGCGCAGCCAGACGCCGGTCTGGCTCGGCTGCGCCCTCGGGTCCCAGCTCCGGCCCCGGGAACGCTGTGAATCTTTCCCCATGCATATCTCGTGGTGTGAGATGTTACGGTCTCTTTGCCCTAGCTTTTCACTTCTTAGCTCAATATTTTTGCACTGGTTTTCTTTTTTCTTTTGTTGTTGAGAGATGAATGTACGTTTTGGCAAACCGGAGTTAAACATAACTGAGCCAAGGGGCTGATGTTGTTGTACTGGGCTTTAAGATGTTTGTAAACTGTACGCTCCTTTGACAAAAAAACAACAAACCCCTTATTTTAGTGACCTTCTCCCTCAATGTAGATTTGTCCCGTTCGAATCTAAGAACAGAGGTTATACTGAGACAGTTGCTCTGCGGTTTTAGAGAGGCTTAGGTTTCTTGAGAGGTTACTGATGTTCCTGCTAATCTTCACTTAAAGCACAAGTTCTTAAGCTCGTAGGAATTTTCAAGCGCAAGGATGCTCAAGACTAGTCACCGCATTTAGCCTCTCCTAATAGATGCTTCTAGTTTGGGGGAGTTACTAATTTTTTTAAATTCACTTCTAATAACAACCTAAAGCTTAATGCATGGAATATGAACCAAAAGGGAAAGTTAATTAACATTTTCTCTAGCACCTGATTTTTTTTTTTTGTTTCCTGAACTGCTCCCCCCAAATACCCCATGAGAAATTAAGACTGTAATCTCTTTTGCACTTTGCTGTTTTAATAGTAATTTGCACTTAACCAAGATCATTCCCTCATGTAATGCTGTAATGAATCCTATAATCTTTTAGTCATTGTTATATCACTTTTTTGGGGAATACATTCAGGAATTTTAAATAAATTTGTTTAGAAACACGTCTAGTCCCTACAACAGGTCTTAACATTGAGCAGAGCGAGATCTTCTCGTGGTCCCTATCTGCCTGGATCTCC